AGAATGTACCAAGTCCACTGTCTGATGCTGGGAAGCATGACAACTACTATGGCAGACGACTTCGGACTAGATGCGTTCTACTAAGTCGCCTTTACAACAACACCAATTTGCGACGAGGTCAACCCACTTCTATAAATCGAAAGGAGACTGCGACCATACCAAAGACCACAACATCTTGGTCTTCATATCTTCAGCTAACGCATAATGTTTTGGAAAGTTTTCCGTATATATGGCAAAATGGTTCGTTGAAGGAGTATGTATGGCGGTTCAGATAAAAAATTTCAACTATCAACTGAGGAAAAAATCTTAACTTGAGGAGATAGTAGCATCAGAGATGGGCCTAAAGGCATCCTCCTTGATCCTTAGATCTTAAATAAGATCTTGAGTGACCTGGGAGATAGAAACTTCCGAAGGCTCGAATCTGAAAATAAATTTCAGCCTAGATTGAGAGCCTTCTATCACCACTAGCTGCCAGGCCACATATCCCCCAGCTACACTTAGAATTACTTCATTCAGAAATGTTTACCTTCCGATTCCCAATTCCGTAACGTGCACCATCTAACCTTCGGCATAGTCCAGGCCATAAGTTTCTTTAATGTTGCCTCATAGAGGTTCAGAAGCGCTGTTAAAGTTCATTTTTAATTTGCCCAACTTGATTAAAATTGGTAGTCTGTGAATCTCTGTAAAGAACATATTTGGCTGTCTGGTAATTCTTGGTTTGCCCAGCCACAAACACTTAATCGCTTATCAAAAAAGGCATATAGCCGAATTTTCCCCTGATGTTTTCCCATCCCTTATTGCAGTGTGCTTTGTTTGTGGGAAAAGATAAGATCGCCCAGATGGGAAAGCCTAACGCAATTTTCAATGTAAACTAATGAGCTCCTGGCAGCAAGGAAGAGTTATGAGAGCACATCACAACCACTCTCTTAACAACTGCCACTTTCTCATCATCTTGCAACAAGTCTAAGCTGCAGGTTTTAAAAACTGATGTTTCAATTTCTCACAATGAAGTGAGTATGAGGCCTCAAGATACCATTGCATTTCACACAGCTTTATACCTCAAAAGAGTTTCTTATTCATCACCGCTTTTGGGAGATCCAACTAAGGCGATCCAGGTACGTAGTTGGAAATCAGGTCAATCGGCCTGCAGTTGGAGGTAGTGGCAGATGCAAGTGCCTTAACGACCAGAATGCCTATCTGAAAGGTGAATTTGGAGGAACCTTCAAAGTCAAGTCTACTCTGTAATTCAGTTTCAACCGTGGCAGTGTGCAGAAATGGTAACGTCGCCGTGTCGAGCCCACGACCTGGTATCAAGTCCTGTTGGAAGTCTTGATGAGAAGATGAGGCTAGATGGAAGTTGCTAACTGTGAAAATTAGTGAAATTGTGAGTCCCTCTACTCAGTTTATTGTTAAAAATGCATCCACTAGTCCTCACATGAACTAAGTTGACTCAGGTTATTGCCAACAAATAGTCATCTAATCTTAACATGCGGCTCACTAATATGGCAATTTTTTAGAGGTAGGGAAACGCTAAATGAATGCTACGAATCTAAATTCATGGACTTTCAATACATTTCCAATAAACTCCGAAATTCAAAGGTTTTCCCTTTTAAACAGATCTACCAAATTCCTAATGATGGTACAGAAGATGCAAACGTTCTTTGCTGCCGCTGCAAAAGTTTATTCGGAGACCAAATATCGACCAATAATAATACCATTTATTGCAAAGTATTCACTTTTGTATGCATCAAATAGTGTAAAACAGGACCAATCAAATAGTACTAAAATGGTATCCCTGCTTGACAGAATTCTTGCGAAATTTTGGATTGTACTTACCAAATTAGACAAGCAAGTCTTAGCTGGTTCATATTTGCAATCATTTTGTATTTGCTTCTTCTCCTCAAGGATGTCGCTTCTTCCATTCTAGAAGCTCGATGTATAGAAGTTGTCTGACCTTGTTTTCGCAACTTGGTCATGTTGGTAGGAAGACTTTGAGGAACGCACCTCGTCCGGAGTCCATTGTATGTATGACCATTTCTAAAGTTGAACCGTGTACTTGTCTCTTTGACGAGTTGTTGTGTGGTGCTAAGAATGGCAATACTCACTGACGATGCCGGCGAAACGTTTGGAAATGTACCACGTCCACGGTTCAATTTTGGAAATAATCATGCAGACAATGGACCCCGGACTAGGTGCATTCCTCTAAGTCTTCCTACCAATACGACCATGTTGCGAAAACAAGGTCAAACAACCTCTTACTCTACATGCTTGCAGATGATTGAAGTTAACTTCCCGAACCTGAAATGCTGCTTCCTCACAGTGGCTCTTCCTGCACCCCCTCTCGCTCCCTTTACTTAAATCTATCCAATAGCCTCAAAACGTTCATACTTAGTTTTATACACTCGCTCCTCCTCAAAACTTTGTGTTTTGGACAAGTTTTGGACAAGGTTCCTGTATTGGCAAAATGTGTTCAGCGAGCTCAGATTTTTTCAACCCACAGACCTTTACACGCGGTTTTGTATTCGCATAGACTCTTGTGAATGGGTCGGCAGGTCTCCTTCACAATTAGCTTACCACATGAGCACAAAACCTTGTAACAGCCTGATATAGAAAGAGAGTCTTAATATTCTTTATACGAACACAAAATACATTTTGCCAATGCAGGACACTCAATAGTCTGGTCCAAAACACAACGTTTGGCGGGTTATGGGGACTTCACATCAAAGCGTAGGATTAAGAAGTCGATAGGAATAAACAAAACAGCCAACGTACTTAATATGAAGAATGAGTGTACAAAACGGAGTAGGAACTTTTTGTGTCTGTTGGATAGACTTAAGGAAAGGTAGAGAGAGTGGGTGTAGGAAGAGCCAGAGAAGGAGACTGGATTAGCCTCATGTCAAGCTGGGACTGTCATACTACCCATCACATGAGCATCACATACACACAATGGACGAAAGCACAAGCCCAAACATGATTCAGCATTAGGCGATGCTTGGTGTATGAAAAAGCGAATCGTGTTGCAGCCGGCCACCTTTTCTCTTGGTTTAGCATATTTGTGCTCCATTTCGCAAAGTATGCAATCCCGCTCTGATGATGTCCGTCACAAGGGTACAGACGACAGCTTGGCACAGTTTCATCCGCGTCACAGGACCATGAGCACAATGCAACAGTCCTCCCTACGCGACAATCCTCCTTCGGTTTCCGGTGAGACCACGTCACGAATTGCTTCCAACCAACTATCCCATCGAAATGGAGAGTTATATACCACTGCCCTCATAATGTTCGGCACGCGACGGACGAAAGCTCAGCAGGGATTCATCGGAGTCGCTTGACAGCGCGCTGAGGACGTTTTCGAACAAGTCTGCGACCACGGCTCCAAGGCGACCACCCTTCAGCTTCCGGTGATGCCAACTTACGGATCCCTGCCACTCGTCCCTTCAAACCAAGTGAAAGCTATTCCATTACCAGCAACCCATACCCTTCATGTGATTCCTCCCGTATTCGCTAACATAGACTTTTTTGAAATCTTCCCATTATTTTATACAAATATTCAAAGATGCTGATTCTTATGATAAATGGCAATAGGCACTTGAATCTAATGCAGGAAGTCCCTTCCAACAAACAAATGTATATATTTGCTTATTTCACCACAAATAACCGGATTCTGACATCAATTTATTATTTAGCTTACTTTATATGGCAATAGCACCTCAATAATTGGGATATAAAAAGGCAAATTTTATGGACAGAAAATATGTATGTATGTATTTGGGTTTAACAGAGATCAATATAAATATATATATATATATATATGTTATTTGAGATTGATAATTATGGAACGCTAATGATCTAAAAGCAGTGTTTGTGTGTGCAAGTATGAGGTTACGCGTATGTTTGCATGCGTGTCTTCGAGATGATAGTTTAAAGCATCTAAAGAGCGAAATTGATAAAAGTACTCGCGATGCAGTTGAA